AGCAATGGTAAAATAATATCCAACAAACAATATAAACATTAGCTACAAACAGATGCTCCTAATGCCACGGCAATAAAATTTTCTCTAATCAATTCAACTATGTACACAAGAACATGAAGCATATTACAAGGGCAGGCGCAGAGAGTAGTAATACATGAAAAAGATGGAGGTGCCCATCCAAATGGAAAAGCTACACCCAAACTTTACTGTCTTCTTTAGTATCCTATAAAAGATTTTGGAGGAAATTTATCTCTTCAACAGCAAGCAAATCCCAAACACTGCTTCCGCTTATTCCACATTCAGTTATTATTGGACACTGCACAGACTGGTCTCTTTGAACAAAAGTTGTCAAGTGGCATTTTTCCTAGTACTTCCGGAACATGCTTCTTATGCAAAGAAAGCATGATGTTTTAGAAAGTGTTCGATACTTTCTCCATCCACTGAAATATCTCCCAATGACTTTTTTGTAGCTCGGCCTGCGCTTTACCAGATTATAGTAGGCTGCTATCTTGGGCCTGCAACTTATATACTCCTCTTCTAGATTCAGAAGAGCAATTCTTGCCAGAATTGGCACAAACATTGAATCTGCCATGGTAAAATATTCACCGGCAAGATATGTCGTCACACTCAGTTGAGCTTCTGCATCATCAAGAAGACTAGACAGCTCTTCCTCACTTTGCTTCAAATTTTTAGGGTCCTTCAACTTGTCTTCTGTTTCATAGGCTTCTCGAAGTTTTACATGGTAGACACTAGCCAGATCTGGAGCTTGGGCCATCCGAGCAATCACCACACGCCGCACAAATTTGGAAACGAACAACCTACATTTGGCTGGGATGTGAGCGAGAGTGAATATTTTGGGACTCCAATCTTCGATTTTCTCCATCCATTCCATGACTTTGCTACTAATGGGATTATCTTCACCACTTAGGGAAACCGACAGTTTCTCTATGTACCTAGTTACAATCAGGTGCTACTATGAGTGACTTTTCTTTCGCGAAACATGCCATAAAGCAAAGAACTAGGCCACATATTTAAAGAAGATATCATTGAGATAATAAACTTACTGGATAATATCAATAGCACGGAAAATGACATGAGAACCATTTTGGAAGATAGGAAGTTTTGCAGATGGATTCGTGCGGAAGAATGACACATCCATATTCTTCCCGGTCAGAGGATTAACATGATAGGATGTGTAATCAATCACCTTCTCTTCTAGTGCTAGCCGCACTTTCTGGCTGTCCATCGAGTAAGGATGATGATAGAGCTGCATGACTGCATGATCATGTAATTATCCGATCAATTTCAATTCCCTAAATAATTATGATACCAGAAACAAAATAAGCTAATTGGACCAAGACATAATCAGTCACATAAATCTCAAACATCTAGCAGATTTCGAAAATTGCTTATCTTTTATCTTAGAGATGAATGTTGAAAAGGAAAAGATGGTGCCAAATCTTTGTTTCTCAAGTGATGATGCAATATCTATTATTGGAACTAGGTCATCATAAATGGTATAGCTACACTTGGACAGTCATCTCTCAGATGTGTTAGCCATCACCAAATGTGAAGCATGGAAGTTTGATAATGGTTATGGAAGAAGAGAAACAGAAGCTTTTCGCTCGAGGAGCACTTGTTGTATCATGTGTCAATAATGGCTTAATGAAAAAAAATTCTAAATCAAGTAAAACTAACAAAGGTGCATACAAATATGCATCCACAACAACAAGGGGAGAAAATACTGTAGCAAATATTCCAGAGATATCAAGAAGAACCTCAGACTTCCAAAGATCTTGTTGACATATTTGATATTAGAACGAACACTTATTTTTGAAAAATGCTAATTATAGAGAGAGAGAGAGAGAAGAAACTTAGCCACTGAAGCTAGCTTGTCATTAAACTAAGTTGGAGAAAATGTCACTATCATCCCTGACATTCAAGATCAAAATGATATGTAGACACTTGACATGGAAGCAGGACACCACAATTTTGAGAAGAATTGAGGGTGAAAAGAAAAAATTGCTATGCCATTTACCACACCAAAGATTGTCATGCTCATGTCACCTCCCTATGCACTCTATTTTCACTACAAAATCAAAGGTCAATTTTCAAATGGATCTTTGTCATGTCTACTCCATTACGTCTCTCAAGATATAACTACGGCATAGTTAAAAACAATCAGCAAAAGAATCAAGTGTGTCTTCTTTTTTACCCAACTCCTAAATTCTTATTGATTCATGAAGGCTTAATCTTTACATATGTCGCATAAGATAGAATCCAAGAAACGTAAGCGCATACAATCTTCAGTAAGTTACTGACCACAATAGTTAACAGTACTAACACAAGTTATGTCAACGATTAGCCTCTGCAATCAGTATGATCAGGATGCCGCAATCGGCAGTTCGTCGCATTTCCCTAAAAATCGACACCCAATTCGTGGTCCTTCGGGGTGGGAGAAAGCAATCTATCTCCCCATGGAAATCTTCCATCATTCAATTTCCTTAACATCGTACATATATGGCAACCGAGAAAAGGAAAACGAATCAAAAAGGAAAAAAGATTTCTTGATCCTACAAAGCGTCGCCTCTCCATCTTTGCCTCTTGGGAAACATCACCAAGATAACAGCAATCGAGATGCAGAAAGCAAAATCCAGAACAGCATGAGGAGAAGGAAGAGGAGGAGGAGAGGGAGCGTACCTTGAACTCGGCGAGAACGGAGGAATTGCGAGCAGCGTGGCCAATTCGTGGAGATCCGCCGGGTGGCGTCGCCTTTTGAGCTGCAAGACAATAAAGTAGGGGGAAACTTTTTCCTTGCTTCCCTTCTTTCGGTCGCCTTTTCTCGTTGCCGTCCACCGCAGCGTCGTCGCCGCTCTACTTTTACATATATACCCTTCTCTCCATTTGCCTACAGGAAGAAATTTCTTGTCGTCGGAAAAAATATATATAGAACGCGTAAATTTCATGAACGATATAAAAATATTATTTGACGATTCTCTTTGAGACATTTAACTTTGGAATTCAATCGCCAAAGATTATGGAAGATTAAGTGCATTATAATTTCATATAGGTAATTACATGTGCAATAATGGTCTTCTTGAGGACAAATAGGTAATTTCAACTTTCTTTATATATTACGCAATAAAGAAATCGTATTTGGGGCATATATGTAATTTCAAAGCGTCATAATGGTGGCATCACCTGACAACGTTGACCGGAATCCAGTCAAAGTCACGGGATTCCGTCGGCGTAAACGGAAAAGGACACGTGTCTACGGCGGATGCGGCAGAATTTGCTGTCGGCTGTTCGACAGCAATTGTTGGTGGTCAAATAAGTAGGAGAGGAGTTGACCGTGAAAGGGAGTAAGTGATGAGCTCAAGCAGTGTAAGGCAATGTTTCGTCGGGCTTCTGTGATGTCTGCGTCAATTTGCTGGCAGCATTGGTTTCCCTTCTTGATTCATAAATTACCCTCTTGATTTTATTTATTATCAAATATATTTTATTGTGTTCATATGCATTAAAATATAACGATGAACGAAAATAATTATTATTTCTTATCGCCCTTCCATTCATAATCTCTCATTATTATTCTCTTCTTTCTCTGTCACCTCACCATAATGCTACTATGATCATTGAGTTCCTGCGCAGGAGTAAACGAGTCTAATGATGACACCAAAGAATACATGTTCCTCTCTCATCTGCCAGTTTAATGTGCAGCAAAAGATCACGATCATTAACTCATTTGATCTCACAAGCATAGAAGAAAGATGACACAGCGAGAGTCGGATCGGTGACACTTACAGTACAAATAGAAGGATGAAAGCTGCTTCCTTCGTCCACAAACCCTTCTATGCTGAAGCTGGAAGAATGTATTCGATGGAAGGATGATCCAAACTGTAGGGTGAAGATTGAGATAGAGGAAGAAGTAGTCTCAGACAGCATCTCTTCCTCGATGATGTGGTTTCATCTAAAGCTTCAATGAGTTCACGGGAGCAGAGGAGGAGTTCAATTCATGGTCGCAAAACTGGGGCTGGTCATCCCATGGTCAGGAAATGGCGACAGCCAAAGCCATCTCGTTCTCGGGCGAATTGAGAGACGAACCCTCGCTTGATGCAACCGTGGCATGCGTGTCTGCGTTGGCCTCTCCTCCCGGCGAAGTCGCGCTTGTATCTACCGCGTCGGTCTTGGCGCCGATGGGGGTAGCGTTGCCGAACCTCACCCTCCTTGCACCGCCAGGAGAGTCAATAGGGGAGTCACCTGCGGCGGTGGCAGCCGCTTTAGTGGGCGTTGCACCACCCGGCACAGCTTCAGCTTTGGTCGGCGGTCTGTCTCCTCCTCCGCGTCTTTCTGGCGTAATGGATCGGTAGATGCATGTCATGAACCAGAAGACCCAGGGGATGCCCACTAGGACCATGCCGGCGATTGGGAACCAGACTGTGTCTTTCGTTTCAGGCAAGGTGACGAACAGCACGAGAAATGCTCCTCCGGCGAGGATGATGAGGAAGAAGAGGCAGGAGATGAACCAGATGCAGATGTTACGGGCCCTGCCCCCGCTGGGCGGCATTGGTGCCAAGCAGAGGCTGCCGCCAACACGATCTTTTCGATCTGTGGATTCCGATCACATCTGCATCGATTGTCCTCTGTGATGCGCGCGATCTCCAGCTGGTCGCTGGAAGTGGAAGGAGGGAGAAGACCGTCTCCCTTGGAGAGAGAAGAAGGTTGAAGCATTCAACAGAGGCTCACGTAAAACAAGGACCACCCATGAAGCAGAGAGAGGAAAGAGCGGAGCGACATCTAAGCTTCAACAGCATTCTATATAGGGCTGATGCTGTTGCATGAGATGCTCTGGCGAAGCCCCATCGCCAACTGCAAGCCTGTAATTGAAGGTGGCAGGAACTTTGGATCGTACGTAATCATGAACACATTCTTCTTCTTCTTCTCTCGTGACATAAACATTTTCTCGCTGATGGATATCATAAGCACATTATTAATTGGATAGATTGACAAAAGGCTTACATCGATGTTTACAGCGAGCAGAGTTCATAGCACACACTACAGGAAGCCAAAGGGAAAAGTGCATGGAGAAGATTAGCTAAAGCTGTAGAAGGAAGAGCGACTGTAAACAGAGCTGTTGAGATCAGAGGACTCTCTTTCCCTGGACAAAAGATCTCCGAGCAGTGGGATGATTGGCTTCCTCTTTCGAAGCTTGATCTTTCTTCTTCCACCCAAGTGGTCTTCTATCTCCGCAAGACTGAGTGCTTGACCCAAGCATGGGAGATACTCGAGTCTTTCTTCCATGTCCCTTGCTCTGTCATCTTGCCATCGCTCGCTCCGAGCTTTAGCATGCTGCTCTATCGACACTGCACTCTCTGCCGCCTCAATCTCTGCCAGTTTAGACATGCTCTTGTGGAGTTGGGAATTGATGGTGGCAATTGCTCTTGCGGTCTCAGACTCCCTCTCCTTCAGAATCCTCAGCTCTCGCTTCATCTCCTCCAGTTCTGCCGCCAGGTTTCTCAGACAGCTGAAAACTGTGGTCTCAACGTCTTTACATCGGATGAAGTGAGAGGCAGAAGAGGTGTAGGAAAGTGGTGAGGAGGATGTCGAATAAGCTGGCTTTGGAGCTGGAAGTGAGCAGGTTGGCCTCGGCGTGATGTCAGGTTCGGCATTTGCATGGGCCTTATGAGGAGGAGCAGCATCGCCTGCAAGAAAGCGCTCGCCGAAAACTGCGACGGCCTCCTTCACCGAGCGGAAGGGACGAGTCGTGTCCACCTCTCCAAGAACTGAGGATGCTTGGCCTTCCATAGTTTCAACGGCAGAATCCCTACGCAAAGGAGATGAACGCATATATGTGGCGAAGAAGAAGAAGATGATGATGTGTTCGATGCTTTGCTTCTACTTCATTGTCATACCTGTAAAATACTGCCTATATTTCAAGGAAAAGAAGTTGCCCAACAGCATGAAGAGAACTTGTCAACTAAGGCCCCTATGTGGATCTGTTGTTGAAGAGTACAAAGCAGGGAAACATGGAACTGAATTCATCACACAGAAGACCTGAGGAACTCTACATAAATGCATTAGTCTGAAAGAGATGATTTGCAGGTTTCACTTGGTTCTTTCTTTTGAGAAAGGAACATGGCAGAAAGCCATCATGACTCCTTCATGAGGCTTGGGTGAAACTGAAGCAAAGATCAAAAGGTCATCTCGGTGAGGAGAGTTGGCTACATCATTACTGTACAGATACTGATCACTGAAACATGCAAGAACCAGAAATGCAAAGCCAGATTACGGCACAGCACTGTTGCTCACTGATCCACCAACCTTTCTGGTGACACCAAATAGCATATGATGGAGGAATTCTTGCATATAGAGAGAGAATATAATTAATCAATCGTTATTCGATATGTAGTCTCCTGTACTGTTCGAGTTAGAAAGGAAAAAACATACAGCCATGACAAGCATCGAACCCGAACCCGAATCCAAATCCGGCTCCGACGGTGACCGAATCGGGCGAGCCACGATCGGATGTGGTTGAACCCTGTTTGTGTACGTCGTGCAAGATCATGGCCGTACATCATTTGAATAACGCGAATCTCGATGACACATTTGTGCCGCACTTGACGCCGCTGGTGAAAGCCAAAGCCCTCCTCGGAGCCTCCGCCCGCCCTCCCCACCGTATCTACCTCAACTCCTCTTCCTCCTCCTCCTCCTCCTCCATTAATTCCCCGTCTGGTTTCTGGTTCCCCAGCTCTTCGCTTTCCCCGACTTAGTGAAGTTGGTATTGGTCTATCGTCCATGGCGGCTCTCCTCCATCTTCGACTTAACTCCTCCCTCCTCCCGTCTTCCTCCTCCCACCCTTCCCTCCGCCGGCGACCCTGCCGCCGCCCTGTCGCTCCCTCGACGCGGATCTCGGCCAAGATCCGCGAGATCTTCATGCCCGCGCTGAGCTCCACCATGACGGAGGGAAAGATCGTGTCCTGGGTGAAGTCGGAGGGCGACCGCCTCGCCAAGGGCGAGAGTGTCGTCGTCGTCGAGTCCGACAAGGCCGACATGGACGTCGAGACATTCTACGACGGATACCTCGCCGCCATCATGGTCGAGGAGGGCGGCGTCGCCCCCGTTGGCTCTGCCATCGCCCTCCTCGCCGAGTCCGAGGACGAGATCCCCCTTGCTAAATCCCAAGCCTCCTCGTCCTCCTCTGCCGTCGCCGCCTCTCCTCCTCCCGCCGATGCGCCCGCCTCCACCACTTCCGTGCAAACCTTGGCCCCTTCGCCTCCAGAACCCTCTCCGGTAGCCGCTTCTTCTTCGACCCACCCGGCGTCCGACGGTGGGCGAATCGTCGCCACACCCTACGCGAAGAAGCTTGCCAAGGATCTGAAGGTGGACCTGGCGGGTGTGGCCGGCACAGGGCCAATGGGGCGAATTGTAGCTAAGGATGTGGAAGCTGCGGCAGCAGCTGCTGTTGCTTCTGTGCCGAGTGTTCCATCGAAAGCTGTGGTGGGATCTGTGTCAGCGAAGGCTCCTACTCCTCTGGCTATTGAACTGGGCACTGTGGTTTCATTCACCACAATGCAGGGTGCCGTTAGTAAGAACATGGTGGAAAGCCTCTCGGTTCCAACATTCCGAGTAGGTTATACGATCACCACGAATGCACTCGATGATCTCTACAAGAAAGTGAGTATTTTTCATTCAAATTTCCGTAGTGTTCTTTGTTCAAGTTGATATTATTTATTCAATGCTGTTCGGGTTCTACTCTGTGTAGATTAAGTCAAAAGGTGTCACCATGACTGCCTTGCTAGCAAAGGCAACTGCTATTGCGTTGACAAAGCACCCAGTTGTAAATTCTAGCTGCAGAGATGGCAAGAGTTTTACATACAACAGCAGCATCAATATTGCTGTTGCTGTGGCCATAGATGGAGGTTTGATCACACCGGTCCTTCAAGATGCCGATAAGGTATTGATGTTCTCTTGAGAGCTTGACTGGTCTTTAGTATATCCGATTTAAATTTGGAATGGCTCATTTTGTAGGTTGATATCTACTCATTGTCAAGGAAATGGAAGGAGTTGGTTGATAAGGCGAGGGCCAAGCAGCTGCAACCTCATGAATACAGCACAGGTACCTCGTCTTCTGCTCATATGAATAAATAGGTAGCCCAGTAGTGTCATTTTTTAGTTTGATTTTGGTTATCTCTGCGGTTGCAAAAGATAGGATTAGTTGTTTAAGAAGCTTTGCTTATGCTTGTCTTTTTATATGCCAACTTATAGTGCTTATAATACTATTATGTATGTGTTTTTTACATCTTTGAAGCTTAATCTGCAAGTCAATAAGGTCTTATCTAATGTAAACAGGATCTGATGTAAACGATCTCTATATCAACTGGCAGTTCATACATCTAGTCAAAGACATTGTTCTGTCAATGAACAACTTGTTGGTTGCAATAATAATAATATTCATCTTCTTATATGGTATTTTGACTCATAGACACTTCAAACATTTGAAGTCTTATTAGGTGGGTAACGGTAACTTTTGTTGGAAACACATGTTGCACAATCCTTTGAGTTGAAAGCTACAAGCTGCATGCACATATTTGGAAGAACAATTCTGCTCAAACATGCAATTATTGTCATTGTGCTCACCAGTGCAAAATAATATGAATCAGAATTTGGGGTTTGTGAAAAGTGATGGATGTAACAGATTCAAGAGTAGAAACTATGTATGTGATCCATCAACTTCGAGTGATGGTAAAGTACATTCTGAATCTCAGTTATGTAATTGATTCTCATAAGCATATTAGGAAAATAAGGCTCTTGGACCAAATTAACTAAAACATGACAGTTGTGATTTATAATGAATGAAGACACCTGCAAAGTCGACAGCTTTAAGCATGCATTGGAAGAAATAGGAGCCATTTCCTTTGTTTGGTTCCAAGATGTTGATCATCCGGAAAAGAGGGATGACGAGAGAAGTTTCTTAATAGGTTAATATGATTTTTTTTCTACTAATTGGATCTCGAAATTAGAAAAGATAAGAGAAAACAGGAAGCTTGTATTCATTCCAGATCATGTAGAGAGTGATGCGCAGATGCACTTCTAGCCTGCATAACATCATAAATTTATAACATAAACATTAGAGAGTGGGTACCTTGTGACTTGATTGTTTTGCTTGCACTGGTGAAATATTGAGATTAGACTTGCTTTTCATTTGCTTGCACAATGGCAAGCAATTTCTGATTTATAACCCCAAAATGGACTAGAATGATGCGTTCTCTTTATTTTAAGAAATAAAGCTATTAGAAAATGCTAAGCTCTTTTTTCTTTTTTCAATTAAGGATCTAGAAATCACCAAGAGTGATAAGTTTGCTGCAATGGATGAAAGTTTTAAGCCTATCAGGAGGCCAACATCCAACTTAAGATATAAGAAACAAAAAAAATTACAAACTTCATTCACAAATTTAAGACAGTGAGCTGTAAGGTCACTGAATATTTGCTACTGCAATTCAATATTTGGATGAAACAAATCTAGAAACGAGTATGTTAATTATATAATTTTTTATATCCTTTTAGTTTGGCTTTTGACAAAGCTATCAATTTTTCAAGACAAGAGTAGCTGGGTTTCAATCCTATTCCATCAAAAGAATGAATTATGGGAAAATTGCAAAAAAGAAAATGGAAATCCAATATATAAAGATAGAATTAGATGTGTCTAGATGAGTATTTATATTTGCAATTGGCAACATATAGAAACAAAATTGTTTTTGTGTATCATTGTGTCAACTTATTTTGTCGTCTGCAGGTACTTTCACTCTTTCAAACCTTGGAATGTTCGGTGTTGACCGCTTTGATGCAATTCTACCACCCGGAACTGTAAGTTCTGTTCCTAAATGAATAATTCTAATACTTCTGATGACTGCACTTACAGAATGAAAAGGATTATGTACTTGTCATTATTAAATTTTCACCGGACCTCATTGCAGGGGGCAATCATGGCTGTTGGTGCATCTCAACCAACTGTTGTTGCCGCCAAGGATGGCAGAATTGGTCTAAAGAGTCAGATGCAGGTAAATTTTGTTTTGTGATACAAACCATGTTAGAGATCCTCTTAATTATGTTGAAGTTCCTCGGTGTGGCTTAATTCATAAACATAAAAGATACAAACCTTGCAGGTCAATGTAACCGCAGATCACAGAGTCATTTATGGAGCTGACCTTGCTGCCTTCCTGCAAACACTAGCAAAAATCATTGAGGAGCCATCAGATCTCACCCTGTAACTGCTACTTAAAAGTTGGTGATCCATAGCTACCGGGAACTTCTTGACCCGAAAAAAAAATTGTTCTCTTGGGCATCATTTTTCTCTTGGTACTGTTTCTACAGAAATACTTGCAGATTCAAGATAAATTGAATTTTAAATTGGTTTATCGAACCATCCTATTCTGGAGATATAAGTATCGGTTGAACTGATATTTCAATAAAAGTTTTGTTGTGCCAATAGCTGCATAATGACAATTTATTTACTGCTCTATCTTTTTAGGAAGTGTTTATTTGCTGTTCTCCAAAGATGTCTAGCAGAGTTAACAATTCATCTTTGTTGCACAGAGTAATCGATTTGTTTCAATATCGGGTGCTGGTACTGCCGTTCCAAAACAGCTGAAATGTAGCCAAAACAGCTGAAATGTAGCCGGCAAATAATGATCTTTTTCAGACACAGTAAGGGAACTAATCGGATGTGTAATGTCGAAGTATATTTATGTAATTAGTTATTTTGTATATTTTTAATATATTTTTTTAAGTAATTATTTTGAAGTAATTATTTTTAATCTTTATATTTTTAAAATTTTATATTGGAATCTTTATATTTATAAAAAAATAATTAATTATTTTTAGTATTTTAATTTTTATATTTTTAAAATTTATATTAGAATCTTTATATTTATGAAAGTAAAAATATTGAGATCATAGAATTAAAAATATAATTTTATAGGATTAAAAATCAAGAGAAAGATTTTTTATATTTACGAAAGTAAAATACTGAGATCCTCAAATTAAAAATATAATTTTATAGGATTAAATCAAGGGAAAGAGAAAGATTATTAAAGCAACGTGTTTAATTATTTCAATTTTATAAGTACGAAGATCTCAATATAATTTTTAAAAATATAAATATTAAAATATTAAAGATAATTAATTATAAAAATAATTATAAATTAATGATTGAAATGAAACAGTTTCAATAAATCTAAACATATTTATTTCTATAGATCAATTCATTAAATCCTCAAAAGATATTTCATATATATACACACATAAATATACACAACAGTTTATGGATAAAAAAATAAAAAATAATATAATGTTTAAATCTTATATTTTTTTAAACTTAATGTCAATATGATTAGAAATGATGAATCCAAATTTATTACATGGTTGATTGCTAATGAAAGTGTCATAAAAGAAAGCTTTAAATATTTGAAGGGATGTATTATATGCTAAATCAAAAATTGGAAGGTTAATTACGCTATTTTCAAAATTTAGAAGGATAAATATGTAAAACGAAAAAACAGAGTCTTCCTTCGCGCCGCGTGCGGGCCGAACCTTTTGATGGCCCAATTAATCTATCCTTCGAGAGTATTCTTCGCGCTGCCTGCGGGCGGACGGCGGTGCTGACCCTAAACCTGCAAGCCCCCTTCCGATCCATTTGTTGTTCGCCCCGAAGACATCCTTCTTCGATTCGATAAATCAAGCAGTTGTTGACAAGAAATCGTCCCTTCTTTGGGTCGAATTGGATTTTCCTTAGCACCGCGAGAGAGAGAGAGAGAGAGAGAGAGGGAAAAGAGGAGGAGAAGGCGATGGTCTTTGGGCAGGTGGTGATCGGGTCCCCGGGATCGGGGAAGACCACCTACTGCAATGGCATGTTTCAATTCCTCAAACTCATCGGCAGGTGAGCATGTATATCCGCCGGTGATCGTTAGGGTAAAACCTCGATGTTCACGTTTCACTGTGTTTTGTTGAAGAAATTAGAACCGTGCGGTTGTTAAGTCGATGGTCGTTGGTTTACCCTAATAAACAATCTTTTCCTTCTCATTTTGTGATAAGGGTTGTCACTATTTGCTTCGGACCAGTTGGGTTTCGCTAGAAAACCTCGATTTTATCTTAAGGGTTTATTTGTGAGCTGCTAATTGCCCATCGGACGAGTTCTTGATAGTTTGCTTTGTATGAGTAACTCCGCAGCACGGATCAAGAAATGTTCACATGACTGCAAAATTGCTTTTTGCCTTGCAGAAAAGTAGCTGTCGTCAATTTGGATCCTGCAAACGATGCGTTGCCGTATCCTTTGAGCTTGGCGTTATTGATGTTCACTTAATCTTCACGTTGGTGTGACAATAGAAATATTAAAACGTTAAAATGGACCATCAGTTGTAGGTTTCTTGACCAACTACAACAGATATGAATGTGCTGTGAATATTGAGGATCTCATAAAACTTAGTGATGTTATGGCTGAACATTCTCTTGGTCCAAATGGAGGTAAGATCTGCACTGAAATAGTTCTTTTGTCATTGATATTTGTGCTCCAATGGTGAAGTTCTTAACTATAGGGTATCTTATTTCTTGGATTCTCAAAATTGGCATTTTATGTGTGTCTATAGGTCTTGTCTACTGCATGGATTACTTGGAAAAGAATATTGATTGGCTACAATCTAAACTGAAACCCTTTCTTGAAGGTTCGTACAAAAAGTCTTTTTTGCTGAGATATTTGTTGTTGACACTCCAATTTAGATATTTTCTTTTTCTTTAAATTCATGAAGCAAACTGTAAAACAAAGTATCTTGCATATTATCTTATTAATAAGAGGTGATTGTGTCATTGACTTTAAATAAACTATATGTTTCCTTGGCCAGTTGGTCACTGTGGTCTCTCTCTCTCTCTCCCTTATGAATTTGTGTCCTGCTTGTAACTTTTTTTTTTTTCATTCTCTAGCCTGCTTCTCTCATTCTCTGTCCATTAAACGTTTAAAAATTGCTTCTACAACATCTGCTTCGTCAAGCATTGAAGTTTTTTCCTTTTATCATTTTGACTAAACTGTCTGACATCTATACTTTAAAACTGTAGACCACTATCTTCTATTTGACTTTCCTGGCCAAGTTGAGCTTTTCTTTCTTCATTCAAATGCAAAGAACATGATCACCAGACTTGTGAAGAAGTTGGACCTTCGGGTATGGTTTTCTTTCATGCATGGTCATAACTATTTTGCTTTAAAGTCTTCCTTGCGGTTGTTAGTTATTATTTCACGATGAGTTATTATTTCATGCAGTTGACTGCAGTTCATCTAGTTGATGCTCATCTATGCTGTGACCCTGGAAAGTATGTTAGTGCATTGCTTCTCTCATTAACAACAATGTTACATCTGGAACTTCCTCACATAAATGTGCTGTCAAAGATTGATCTCATTGGGAAATATGGCAAACTAGGTATGGTTTAAATCTCGTGTACATGCTGGTGACATATACTGAATAAAACTGTGTGAAGCTGAAATCATAATCGTGTACATTTTTTGCAGCTTATAACCTCGAGTTCTACATGGATGTTCAGGATCTATCTTATTTACAGCACGATCTTGATCAGGATCCTCGTTCAATGAAGTACAGGTTGCTATAACTAGTTATGTTATAAATGTTAGGAAACCTGATTCTTGTTGTCTAAATCTTTAAAGGTATAAATAAATCTTCGTTTTGCACATCTCAGACCTTGTAATTCTAGTATGCTATTTTGAACATGGTTTATAGTTATACTGCTTTGTATTTAATATTTGTTTTTCTATGTATTCTCATGTTACATGGCACCTCACTGTTAGATTTGACCTTTCTAATGAGGGTTTTCTTCAGTTCAAGGAGGAGCATGTTCTCCAAGTATTTATTCAAAGGAGGATTTTTTTAACTGCGGGGAAAATGTACGATATATGAAAAAAAGAGGTCTACAAGTTCACATATGTAGACTACTATGCTTAATAAACTAAGATATGTGAATCAATGTCAGAATTCCTTTTGCTTGTCAAGCTGCTGCTGTCACATTCCTTATTTTTGCTCTATGTTTATGTCTTTGTAGCTGATTACTAGTGGCCCCTACAGTTGCCCAATTCCTATGGTGTTTGTATTATGCTCTATTCCTTCTTGGAAGCAGGTTGTTATAAATACATGGTCACTATGTGAGGATGAGAAGACAGAATGAAATGTGTATGCTGTGATAAGCAATTCTCCACCACCATGATCACCGAGTTGCCAATTTGGGAAGGTCATAGGAGACGCCATAGCCTTCTTATGCCCTCTCCTGTATGAACAATGGATGGAGCAAACTGTAGGGTTTTGAGGCTTTATATTTGACATTTTGGAAGTGGCTGGAACATTAATAGCAGCAGTTAACTGGTTGAGCCCACATCCACCAATACAGTCGCCAATTGATTCTTGCTGTAGGAAGTCAAGCTCATGTCCTTTGGCTTCTGAGCCACTTTAACATGGCATTTGTGGACATATCTACTCCACCTCTTTGATTCTTTTCTCTTTAACTTGCTTGAGGTTTTCAAGAAAAAAATCTTCACCTGTGTCTTTATGATAAGCTTTGGAAGTAGTCTTATATTTGTGACCAAGAGTTCATTTATTATCATAATGACAAAACAGGTCTTTGCTTCACTGGTTCACCAACTTGGAAGTAGTTGCAATCAAGTTGGCCTATTAAAATTTACATAGGGAAATCAGTGGTTCTTCCCTGATTTCCTTGCCTCAAGCAAGTGGCACCTTGTTGCTGTGGTTAAGGTGCACCTTTATAGAACCTGCGGCATAATGCTCTCAGGAACTGCATCATGAGTAACCCGTGGTATGACTTTGTAGTTAACCACTGACAGTCAAAGCAATTTCTTTTATGTTGATGCTGATCCCTTCATGCATTAGCAAAAAGGCTTTGTATTTGCAACATAACCTGAGCAAACATGGTGTTCCATAGGTGCCGACACTGATGCTTCTATGATGTACACAGTGTCAGTAGAGGATTATTGTCATAGAAGCTCATTGGTGTTGTAAGTGATGTATACATCCTAGTCAACCATGGAAGTTTGTTAATCACTAGTTATGTATGTAAAAAGACAGGATTGGTGTAATTACTTAGTAGCATGTCACTATGACAATATTTTGCCATCATATTTTAGAATCTTGCGCTGATTCTCGACCCATACACATTGTTTCACTACATTACATAGATCAAGTTCCCAATTTAGATGATATTTTTGACTCGGTATGGGATTCTATATCACTTCTAGATTTTTTTTCTAGCAGTTATTTGTTTTCAATTTTTGTCAGTCCTACATATGAAGATTTGTCCTATTGTACTAAGATTTCTGCTATTGTGTTGACCTGATTGAAGGAAACTCACCAAGGGGCTTTGTGATGTGATTGAAGATTTTGGCTTGGTTAACTTCACAACACTAGATATTCAGGCAAGTTGCCTCTTTGGTTTTCTTTTCTGTTTTGATTCAGTAGTAACTTGGCACTAGACATTATGCACATCAATTTCAGGACAAAGAGAGTGTTGGGAATCTTGTGAAGCTGATAGACAAAAGCAATGGATACATATTTGCTGGTATACAGGGTAGTGTTGTGGAGTTCAGCAAAATTGCAGCAGCACCGTTAGACTGGGATTACTACAGATATCCTTTTGGTAGATGTTTCTTTGATTTTATTTTGTTGCTTAGCTGTTGCTAACTTCTTGAATGATGATATGAATGAACAATTCTTATTATTGCCACTGTTAGGAAATGCCAGATGACAATAACAACTATAACTTATTGGGATAACCCATGAATTATTTCATCTGTACTGTGAAATATGGAACTTTCCTTGAGAATAAATAGACTGCAGGAGATAATTACTAAGCTTAGTTGGTAGGCATGAAATCTCTCTTTGTATACTGTTCAAAATTCTCGTTGCAATGCAACGTTTTATTTATCTTTGCTTCCAGGGTGATAAAATAGTCTTTCGATGATTTAAGAATGTGGAATATGACTAGTTTTCTACCATGGTGAGAAGATTTTCGACTACTGATGGTCTCAACTTAATGGACAGATGTTGGATGTTATCTAAAAGGTTGTTTTTAATATAGTGTTTATGTCAACCAAAATTAAACTTATGGAGTAGAATCACTTTTGTTTACTTCGGTTTGTCAATGCTGTTGATTATTAAAGTTACTTGAATGGTCATTCACCTATTCATAAGGAAAATTCTTGTTTTCAAATTTCATTCTGAATTCAGCTGTGTTGTCTTGTGATGTGTAACATGTCAGTGGCTTTATTTTTGCCTAAAATAAAGTGGAAGCTATTTTAACTGTTTATATATTTCTATGTTCCACTTGTACACGGTTTCATTTCTGTAGTCTTCTGCTTGTTTCACCTTAACTGGTGGTTACAACAGCAGCCATCCAGGAGAAATATATGAAGGATGATTAGCAATGCTTATGGTTACGTAATCACAATCAAGAGTGCAGGTAATCTGATATGCTGCTCAAGATGCAGTGGAGCCAAATGTATAATTGCCTGAGTTTTTGTGGATAGAGACTATTTGATTGCACTCTTCTTCCTTTTTTTAATCTGATGTAGGCCGATGTGATGCTTTCAACCCCACCAACCTTGTACTTATCTGGAGCCTGCTTCGACCATGTAGATCTTGGTGATGATAAGATTACGGATGGTTATTTCTAATCTTCATGTCCATAGGGCTCAAAAACTTCTGTTCCAATTGATGGTTTTGGGATTTTGTGGCTAATAGTTTCTGAGAAGCCTTCTTTCAATCATATGCCTGTGCTTGATACAGAAGTCAAGAGGTTGGTTTCTTCTTCCACTTGCAAAATTTAGACATGTTGCTCTTGTCAATGACGTGAGCTTTAGCATCATAGTACTGGTGCCCATTAAGAATGCTTATTTGTTGCAACATGATGTATTGGTCATTGCGATACTGAGTGTGAGCTGCAATGCTACCGTTTTTGTGTGTTGCTCATCAAAAACTAAATACTGTTAGGAATTCATCTCTTTGTCAGTCATTTTTATTGCTTTAAATGCTTTGAATTACAGCTAACATTCTCGGTGGGTATGTTTTGTGTGGTTAAGCTTGTCTAGTCTCAGACAAGAGATGACTGCAGAATCATGGGGGGTTTTGCACGTTGCATGGCATGTAACAGAGTGTTGCAGGGTCCATAACACCATTACTTTGTGATGTTCAAAGTGAGTAATATCAGCATTGTAGAGTTGATTGCTGTCAGGAATCAATCTCACTTCATCGAAGACCATGTTTGAGCCAAATACACCTATTAGTTCCTTGTTGGAGACAAGCACAAATATTTTGTCTGGTTTGGATGCCCATAACTAGTCTTCCCAAAATATTAGACACCATGGGACTCCTGCTGGGGATGTTGGAAAATGGTTTCAAAAGGGAAAAGAAGGTAGCAAACTATTCACTATTGAAGCTTCAAATTGAAGTTATTGAAAGATAGGTTAATTACATATTATCTTGTTTTTAGTATCTTGATTTTTACGACAACTATTTGCCTTGGTTTTTTTCACTATCTCAATTTTTATGGTATTTATATAGAGACGAAAGTAAAATATTTAGGTATATTTATTTTAATGTTATTAGTTTTATCAATGAAAATATAAAAATAAAGAATAAAAAGATAATTTTAACATTTCAGTTATTGATGGCGGATGACGATGTCGTTGGGGGTTGCAAGTGGTTATTATGGATGAGGAGAGCAACGACGAAATATAATGGTTGATCGACATCTGTGTTGTCATTGATGAAAATGCAGAGCGACACCATTCGACATTTGCATCGACGATCCTTTCATCATTCAGTAGTTGTGACGACGTTGATGCAAATGTAGGGAGATAAAAGTTATGCTTGGTAAGACATCAAAGTATATACAAAATAACTTTTATCTCTCTTCGTCGCTCTCCTTATCCACAATAATCAATCGTGGCTCCCAACGGCATCGTTATCTGCCACTATCGATATTGTCCGTCATCATCAATTGTAATATTAAAATTATTTTTTATCCTTTATTTTCGTATTTTTGTTGATAAAACCGACGATGTTAGGATAAATGTTCGTAATGACATAGATGCCAATATAACTTTTTAAAATATAAAGATCGAGATATTAAAGATAACTAACTTAAGGAGGTAATACAGAGAGTAATATATAATTAGTTCACTCAAGACTCTTATAAACAATGAAATGCCAGCTATACAGTGATCATATGAGATCTTTAAACATAAAGTTCACTCAAGACTCTTATAAACGATGAAATGCCAGCTATACAGTGATCATATGAGATCTTTAAACATAAAGGAGCATTCAAAGTAATAAAAAAACTACAAATGGCAATCCCTAATCTCTTGTGCATCCAAGAAGAAATCACCTAAATTCGATGTAGAACAACATGGATTTGTCGAAGATTCGCCACTGTGCTTCTGCTACCATTAATGCTCTCTCCAAATCAATCCATGGCCAGTATTCACAGAGTGAACAAAGAAGAACTAATACATATACTTTGAATCATATTTCCAGATCTTTCTTCTGTAAATGCTTGATCAATCTTTACAGGATGAGCGGGTGCAGAACGGCCTCGAAACCTGACCTTCATTAGAACTAACCCACCCCAAGACTTCACTGGGTAGCTGTGGAGATGACATAAATGATAACTAGGTTTTTTCCACAGTTGGAAGTGTTTTGAAGTTGACAAAACTGGTTTTGCTGTTGGCCTATGTTTCCCCACCATGATTGGGAATTCTGAGACCATCATAAGCTCTCAGTATCTGTGAAGTAAAATCCTCGAGTGCTCCGAATAATGGAGTCAAACCAGTTTGCAAAGCACTGGAAGCAACATGCTTAATTCGTCTTAAAGCTTCCTTGTGCTTATATATTTTCTCATCCAATTTCTTTCTCAGCAAGTCCAATTCCACTATGCCATCATCATGGTGTTCCAGACCATCCTTGGTGACTGACACAATGTCTAGATGCCCGTATCTTCCTTTCTCCTGCAACGATCCTAACCTTCGATCGTAAGCTCCTGATAGATACTCTGCCTCAAGTCGTTGGCGTTGTTCCTCCTCCTGAGACTCTAACAGAATATGGAGAATTTTAATGAAAGCACGCATAGATTTGATGACCTCTTTTCCTGAAATGTTCTTGTTAGCATGGAACCAATCATTAGAGAGGACATACACAGCAGGAGCACCAATTCCACCTGGTGAGAAAGGAGCAACTCCATCAGGTGTCTGCTCCTGTTCTTGAGGCAGCCAGCTGATTAACCATCCATTGAGGGCCTCAATGTAGGATTTCTGAATGCCAATCCAGTTGTTGAAACATTGGTACCAGTTTACCAGCTCCAGTTCCAATTCCTTGGTGGCCTTCGCAATCGATTCTTTTTGGCTTCTGGTTTTCACAACCAGTTTACGGCTTGTGGTGTTAACTATAGCCTGCAACTGCTTCTGATGGCAAATCAGAACAGTCTTCCACATTCTGATAAATCTAAATTCAAGAATAATGACATTGTCAACATAGGTTTAGGTAATGGCTGTGGAACCATAAAATGCTGTCCTCACAAAAAAATAAAAATGAAATTATAAGGCACCTATAACTAATCAATATCAGAAATCATTCATATTCTTTTTCCTATAGAGCACAACAGTCAAATTTGAAATAAAAACTTAGAACAGTTGCTGACGGAACCTGAGTGATTAGTGATTCAAAATATATAGATCCCCTCGGGCACTACATTACTGCAATATTGTAAATTAAACCTTCCCTTAATAGGAAAGAACATAATAATTTAAAATTTCAGCATAATTACAATTATTTAGTCAGGAATGTAACTCTGGGGGCAGTATGTCTGAGCTGAAGGGTGACATAAGTACCTTGAGTACAGTATGTATAACCAACACAACCTAACTTGAACTTACCCAATTTTTTTCCCCAGCTCAAACCAAATCCTTGATTAGTTGGTTAGTACTAAAATCCAATCTTCGTTCTTCACAATCTGCCATCCAAATGTCCCAGATAGTGGGCTCTAAGGAAGGACAACCATGCTCACAATACTATATCCTTTGGATGTGGCATTCCTCTTCCCAAATTATTGTCAGGTTCTGTTAGCCCATCTAGCTTGAGAAATTCAAATGCCAAAATCAGTTATTAAGGTTCAAAGGCCTTGGAACTCTACAGCTGAACCTGCAACCCTTGTCTAAATTGCTACAACTTTGCCTCCCACTCTAATTGTTGCAGCTGAAATAACAAAAAGAAAATATTCTTTTCCTGGAATGTCCATCACTGAGCATCATGCAGCCTGAGTATCCTCAGGCTGAAAGGACTGGGGGAGGAAGGGAACTTTTAAATCAGAGAGGAACTTGATTGTTTTCACAGCGTGTGTATTTTACTAGGCTATGAAATTCTAGATTGTTATGTTATTTCATATAGAGGTGTTTTATCCTAATATCACAATAGTGAAAAATTCATAATTAATTTCTATAGAGAATTTTTTTGTCAAAACTAAAAAGATAGTATACTATATATATTATACACACAACAAACACAATGAATTTACTTTCAGAAGACTAAAGGTTTTTTTCCTTTGTTTTCATCATGATTGGTGGCATATTGATTTAAGACACAGAACATACCACTTTGAAATGAACATACTGTGAAGGTGAAGAACAAAGATTAACCAAGTAAAAAAACAGAAAAAATTACAGTAGTGATAATCAACCTATTTTTTCAAGTGTTGCATGTGCTTTTTTAATGTATGAAAGCACCACAAAGATTCTTCTTATATTCTCATCAAGTCCAAGAAGTGCTTAATTAACTATCATGACTTTCTTTCGGAACTTTTATTAACTCAAAGCACACACTACACTTATCTGAACATTGATAACCGCATTTTGAAAGATGATTCTTGACCGAAACAGGAGATGTTTCATACTCAATTAAGTAAATGAAATTAGTCCCAATTATCTTCTAATTGTCCTTATTTTGAGGGCTGATGCCCAGAGAAAAGTGAATTAGGGTTCACCTTTTCTGGGCAATAGAATGTTATTAGGATAGTTTCCAATTATCAGAGAGATCTACAGAAACTACCAAAACAAATTAGCTTGGTAAGACATGTAAGATATCTAAATGTCAACCCACACTATTTATAACTGGTCCAACGAAATAGACACTAATAAATACTAGGTTGCCACATGCCCACAGTGCAAGCTTCTAGTCATTCCATTTTCCAGAATGGAGCATATTAGTGCTTTTTCCCAAAATGAGAATATAAGACTACAAACTGACATCAGCCAGATTTGTCATAGTTGATTACATTATGAACTAAAATAAATATAACCTATTTTTCTTTAGTTAATATAGGGACATAAGAAGTTGCCAACAGATGAGTTTTTAGAAGACTTTTTTCGAGTTGAAGTAATTCCAGATGCATAAAAATGGAGAGGGACAACACCTTTATGAGTTCTTTCCTCGTGCATGGATGAATAATTAATGTACTTGCAATATTAAGGTGATGAATTAAAAAAATATTAATTGGATAATATTCTTTAATTGGTGTAAACATTGAGCTGATATGAATAATTTTCTATCATTAGCCTTGAGCAGGATTGATACGACAAGTTGTGGAATGATCAACGTGTAGGCAAGCATATTAATTACTAAGAAAAATAAAAGGTTACCTACTGGAAGATTTATCATATAGCTCAGTGAAAATAAATTGTTCATTAGTTATAAGAAACAAGATGAAAAATATTCATAATAGAACTCTTGCGGTTTCATACCCTTGGATCAGTTCAGTAAGTTGGGGCTGCAATTCTTCATCTCTTATCTTGTGCATCCTGTTTGAAATGGAATCAACTGACTTAATGATGACACTAATTTTTGTGTGCAGCTTCCTTACTAAAACTTGAGTCATATTAATCTCAGATGGCTCTGCTCCTCTAGCATGTAAAGCTTTTAAATGCTTGCACTTCTTGTCATAGATAATCCGGAGTTTTTCTTCATCCTAGAACAAATGCCTAGAAATTAATACATAGTTCAACTAAAAGAGGATGACAAAGGAATACAGACAACACTCTTAAAGTTTTCATAATTACACTGGTGATAAAAGAGAAAATATCAAAGACAAACAATCATTGATTTCCTTAAGTAAAAGGCTTGATGCTTACACACCCACCAATGGGTCTGGGAAGGTTTAGTTGCATGCACCCTTATCTATGCATGCAAGATGTTTCTAGACTCAATCCTTGATACATAGGTACAAAGGAGCAATCCTATCGTAGTTCCAAAAGTAGATCTTTTAACATAATTTTATTCACTCTTTGTATCACAAACACATGTACTATAGCTTACCATAACTAAAGAACCAGAACATGGTAAGTACATTAAACTTCAATTTAAACTCAGCAAAGATCACATAATTATTCTACTCCTTTCAGTTACTGACTTCTCCAGGATGAAGCACTCTTGGATTGATCTAGTAAGACAATTAAAATAAAATAGATGATGCCAGTAGACCCTTCACCATGCCATGGATCAAAACTTTCTTTGCTAAGTTCATTGATAGTGCATACACCAAAGCACAGCACAAATGCTCTCACGGTCTCACCCATTATTGATGCGTGCAAACCTGCTTCCTGTGCTTTTAGTTGCAGATTTCAGTAATACAATATGGCTCTGGGAAACTTGAAAAGAGGAACTTTCTTTGTGACAGTAAGCTAACTAAAATAAAACATGTTCACTGGCTATAAGTACATTCAACAATAAAGATGAATAAACTTAGGCCCCACCATAACTCCCGACATAAAGGAAGGGGATATCCAATGTCCTTCAAGCCATGAAAACTTCTGTTCTACAGCCTGCTTGAATGATCAATTTTCTGGCAACCCAAACATTCTAAATTTGATTTCTTCAGATTTAAGGACTTGACTATCCACTCCTATCTCAAGTCCTACATGCTGTCCTATGATACAAGTGGTCATAATTAAATAAAGGTCAATTCTATAATTTTTTTAGTACAAACAAATCTTAGATTATAAGATACATAAAGTAATATGCATGTCTCTACATGAATATTCAAATGTTTGTGTGTGTATATACATGGCAAACTAAGCTGAACTCTATAAATTCAAAAGGATAGCTAAAGATTTGAAATGCTTCATCCACAGACCACTTTGTTTACCTGATGCTAGAAAGGATGTTTTGAGCGTATTATGTATAACTGGTATATTTTCCAACAATGAGACAAAGGTCTAATTTAGAGAGAAAAATTAATTTCATTTAGAAATAAATTATCCTACGTCCTTCAGAACCAGCATCAATGTATTTGAGAAGGCAATGAATCAAGTAATGCAATTTGAGCACCATAATAAATTCAGAAAATAGAAAAAAAATATTTAGTTGGACCATATGTTACCTCTCCAAATACGTTAAAAGAAGGATATCGTTTAACTGCTGATAATGTAATACTCTTTTCGCTTGATCACTTATGTTTTGCCAAGAATTTCCATTTCACTCAGAAAGTGTAGGCATGGGTGGAATGGTTACAATATGTGCCATGCTAATCCATGCTGAAGGTTATAACATATGGCTGTGTTACTTTGGGTGTATTAACTTGAATGATGCAGAATTGTACCATCATTGTAGAATTTGGGTGTATTAACTGGCATGATGCAGAACTGTGCCATGCTAATCCATGCTAAGGATTATAACCTATGGCTAAGTTAATTTTGGTGCATTAACTGACATGATACAGAATTGTACTATGCTAGAAAAGTATCAGCACATACCCAAAATGGCAATTCTTGTATCTAGCATCGAACTTCTGTGATTCTAACTCATCATTAACTTTCTATCCAACTTGACAGAAATGCTAGAGATAAAAGTATCTCTTGCTTGTAAGCAAGGATATACCTCAATAGCTGTTAATCTATAGAGTATAGTCCATGCTACAGCTTTTCATATTAATGTTTCCCAACAGCAGTTAATTGGCCCTTCGTATATGCAATTAAATAACTAAGTAAAGCAATCTAATCTTGCGTGAATGTTATTAAATCATACCATATAATTAATGACACCCAAACTTTCTCATGTTGCTGTGGATTATTTTGTTTTAACCACCCAAATATAGGACTTACAATAGATGACAAATCATATGATATCAATTGTATAAATTCCTACAAAAAACTGAATGGCATTGCTGAATTGATCTAATGATGCTTGTACCTTCACTTCTTTGTAGAGTTTCTGCTCCCATAGATATAACTTCTCAAGAGTTGATGAAAGGTTCCCAGACTCCACAATATCATTATTTTCAGGATTGCAATTTCCTGCTTCTCTACTCACTGAACTCATATTTGTATGTTGTGGTCGCTTAAAAGGAAGTGAAACAGGCAGAGTTATAGGATCCAGAATCCTGGAAGAAATATCTGCAGCAAGATTTGTTCTAGATTATATAGCCCTTCAAAGCAACACCTGTTCCTATTGTTTATAATAGGACAAATTTTAAGTCTTGGTATAGCAGAATTTCTTCCTTTTTCCAATTACAAAAGTCAACATGGAAAATAAGAAACAAGCAACAAAGAACACAAAATCAATTTTTAAGAACGTAAGTTTGGAACACAGGCATACTACAACTTTGCAATATAATGACCTTTTTAAAATCAATTTTTAAAAAGGTCATTCAATGTCAAAGAACTGAATAGATAAAAACTTATCTCTTGGAAAGAAAGACCATCAAATGAAATTCATATACAATCAAGTAGAGAGGATACTAAAATCATTGATTAAAAATAAAATTTCCTTTGAGCTATTTTGCAAGCAACTACCATCTGAAAGATCATGGCAGTGCATTTTTCAAACATATCATAATGTCCTGATGCGATATACCATAAGAAAAAGTTAGACCAACAAGGGCCATGCATGATAAGGTCCTGATGCGATATACCATAATGAAACATAATCAAGGAACATTTCACACTAAACCTAGATCTACAGAGAAGGTTTGAGAAGTAACTTAAACAGATGCCTTTTGTGGGGTAGGGAGGCATGATGAAATATGGATCTCATTATACAGACTGTTTCTGGAGGGGCTGCTATTGTTTTTTGTTTTGTTCAATAGCAGTTCTTTTGTTTTCTCTTGGCATGTAGCTTTATCTGGTGGTGGTTCTCTACTATATGTTATTTACATATTCTTTTAATTAATGATGGGTCCATAACCCCATTTTTCTCCCACGAAAGCAAAAGAGAAAAAGATATGCTCCAGGTCAACAAGCATCAAGTGATCCCCTGGAATTACACCTGGCTCTATGTTAGAGCAAATACCAATTCATGTTTCAAATGTGGTGATCTCTATGTAAACTAAAAGATTTACTTATCTTAGGAAAAAGACTAACAAATATACTTGTGAATTAGTAGAATAAGAGAACTTGGAAGATATATGAAAATGACAACAATTCTAGACTGTGTCACTATGGAAAAAAAAACAATATCGGAGCATTAAATTAAATGAAATGACCACATTATATGTGACCTAGTTCCCTCTAGTATGTTTTTTTCCCTTTTATTTTCTGAAGGGGATTGGATACAGTTAATTTCGTCCATGGAAAAGTAAAATTTTTTACTCCCATTGGCAGCCAATTAGAAGTTAGAAGAACGACTGCTAAGGAACTTGAACTGTGCCAGGATCGGTCATGCCACTGCTGCGCAGCTATTTGTTATACCACTCAGGTACATAAACTGTCAAGATCAAGGTCTGTCATACCGAAGTGTACCGCTCGTACCGGACGGTACATACCGGTCCGACAGGTTACCGATACGCGGATCGCCCGGTACCGCTACGGTGCTACAGTATTATATTGTAGCACTGCTACAGTACTACAGTACTATACTGTAGCACTGCTACATTATGAAAAAGCATAAAATTATTCGATACACCGGTACCGTACCGCATCGAGCCCGGATCGAAACGCTGGTATGGTACGGTACGACGAACCTTGGTCAAGATATCAAAGACAATCTTAGACCTTGCATCGTTAAAATCAAATTATAATGCAAATATTTTGTTGACAGAAAGCAGATAACTATGGAACAAAGAACAGAAACTATAAATAAAAAGAAATCATCAATGAAAGACCAACCTCCAAACCTTTTACTTCTTGAAGGGTAAGGAAACCTGTCGCCCTCAAGCATCTTTGATACCTCCTCACCACAATCAGCAGCTGAAGTGAACTGCTTCTTAATCTCCTTCACAACGTCTACCACATCCCTTGTAGCGTGAAGGAAAAATGATTGCTCACTACTTGTAGTGGACAATGATTTAACGCTTTGTGGTGCACTTTCCTCCGTTTCATAGGATTTATCATAAAATTTCATCACTCTGTCCTTCCCATTGGATTTCTTATCCTCTCTGATACTTCTTCCTTTGCTAGATGCCCAACTATTCTTTCTCCCTTCCTTTGCCAGTCCAACAATACCATCCTTCGCATCCTTTCTTCCGACATCCTCTGCTGGTACAGCTGATAACTTTTCAACGCTAAAGTCCTTTCCTTCCAAACCATTATCCAGCACATTCTCCTTCTTCGCCTTTAAATTCACCTTCTTCGCCAGTACATTCTCCTTCTTCGCCTCCTTCATTGGTTTCACGTCCATTTCGAATTCAAGATCAGGGATTCCTTCTTGCTTCCTCACTTCCCTCAAATCAGGACTACTCGTGAAGGAACCCATGCGAAGCTTTCCCTGAGAGTAATGATGCAAAAAGTGTTCATACATATTGAAAGGGTCAAGAAACTCCCAACCAGAGGTTTTGGCCGGCGACGGCGGAGGAGGCGTAGCAGGTGCCAGCGTCGGCGTGGGAGGACCATACGTCTCATCTCTAGCTGGAGTTTTAAATCCAAATGGGGCGTCATAGGGAGGATAACCGAATCCATAGGCGTCGCCATTGTAGGGAGAATTTGACCAAGGTGAGGCAAGTGGGTCCTGGTAGACTGTTTGGGGGATCTCCATGGATGACTTCAGGAACGAAGAATTAGAGCTTGAAGAAATATGCCGGCGTGGCGAAGTCGAAGAATCTCTACCACCATCACCAGCGACAGCGGCTCCACGGCCTCCACCAGCTTCACTTGCACCACCGTCTCCGCCGTCAGGGTCCGTCTCGGACTCGGAGATATCTGACAACGGCAGGTGGGAGCCGTTTCGCGAGAGGGAATGAGAGAGCGGCGAAGCGGAGGATGACACGGAAGCAGCGGCGGAGGCGCTACCTCGCCCCCTCTTTGTTTTCCTCTTGCCGTCCGACGAGGGGAGGGTGAGGACGGGGGATCCCGTCGGCGAGGAGGATGCCACCGTGAGTTCCTCCTGAACGAATCGCTGGAGCGCGTCCCCGACGGCGGCGAGGGAGTCAAAGTAGGCAGCGTGCGCAGCGGCGAGGGCGTACCGGCGGTCCACCGCGGTCGCGATCCGCTCCCTTCGCTCCCGGCACAGCGACACCAGCTTCGACTCGTCCACCTTCGAGCTCCCGCATCCCATCTCCAGCCGCAACCACCCTCAGCCGCGCCTCCGCAGGAGACGGCGCCGGCCCCCTTCGCTCTCCGGCATCAAGGAATGAAGTCAAACACGAAACCCTAACCCCAGCTCACGTTCTTCTTCGCGGCCGCGAAGCCGTTTCGTATCGCTTCCTTTGGAAAGAGGAGGAGACGGGTTCGTTACACAGAAAAGAGACCAATAGGTGGGACGACGGCGCGAAGGCGAGGAAGTGGCGTTATAATATATTCACAGAAGACTTGAGGGCACGACAATGGCGGAGGCTCGGCTGTCCTTAGAGAACTGCTTTGTAAGCTGTCAATTGACGTGCCAAAATATAAGAGGCTACAAAATAGGGCCCCATTTAAATATACCCAATAGAAATACGGTGTGACTTGAATACTCACGCGAAATGGACAGATGATCCGCTGCTGAAGGAGATGGCTTTGTCACGCTGACAAGGATCCAAGGTGTCAGGCGAGGTCGGTTCCATTCCTTTTATTCGATTCACATACCTGCCTCTCCGTTGGATGAAATTTGAGGGACCCACACGCAGGACCACCAATAGAGCCAATCAGAGTGCAGGTAGTCGGTGGAACGGGCGAGGCTGAAATCGCCGACTAAAGGACAACACGGTTGGGTCAAGTCAACGAAGTAAATTGCCCGGTTGGAAGGATGACGTCAGCTGACAAGACTTAAAAGGCCGGTCAACGAGAAAGCCTGACGTACTCTTTTTCTGACGTGGTAAGCAGCGTCTATTCAATAACTCCGGAAACGTGCCACCCGCGTGCACTCGCACGTCAGCACGACCAGAAGACGCGTAATTCACACTCTTACATCACCTAACCCGTCACATTTTATTTCCTCATGTCATTCAAAATATTCGGACCTCTAAATTTTATCCTATCATATATTTTTTCTATTAAAATCTTATGATTTATATATGAAAGGTCGGATTCATAATTATCAAAATCGGATCGAATTCAAAACAATCAATCAACATTATGATTTGATTCCATAATCTCTAAAAATATAGAGACTTAGATCAAAATCGATCTTCCAATGGTCAACTATGCGGCTAAATATAATATTCTAATAGCCCATAACTAAGACGTTAAACTCTATTAAAGAATATATATAGGGAGAGATGTGATATAGGTAGGCCTCACGTAATTTTATATGCTTGATAGTGGCTACGAATCTTTAAGTTAGATGTGTAAGAAGATAATGTAATTAAAACCAATACAACCAAACACCAATTTGTGTCATTAAATTTCATGTTAGGTGGCTAATTGACGATTTGGTATATATGTCTCCACTCTTAACATTGATTGGAAGTTGACATGAACATATAAATACATTCACAAAATAATTGAATTAATATATCACCTATTATTATCAGTATCGAGATATAAGAGAATGAAATGTCTTAAGATTAGGAAGCATGAAATTAATCGAGCAAGTACGAGTTTTAAGTCGAGATGAAGACGGTTTTGATACTAAAACTTTATAATGAACTGTTAAAATTTTTATCTAAGTTAGATTATTTTCTTATTCATGAGAGGACTGATTAATCATCTTCCTTGTAAATTCATAATTTGACCAACAAGAGTCATATATCCTTTTCATAATTATCCTTAATGATCTATCAATTTCATTTCACATTCCCAAGTGGTCTCTATGCTTTGTTCCTCACAAACATATGAATTTGTAAGGAAAAAGAAGTTTCAATGTTCAATTAAATAATTTGACTATCATATTGGCTGAGTTGACCCACCTTTTCTTTTGACATCACTAATTTTTTGGGTTCCCTTCTAGCTTGTGTATCAAGATAAACTTCATGTCTTGTGTATGCACAGAATGAAGAGAGATGGGATTATAGTATGAGGTGTAGATTAAACAATTCCAAGCAAAAATCTGTAGAATGTGTAGATTAAACTTCAAGTGGCTTACCTCTTCACAATAAAAGAACAAGTAGATGGTTTAGAGTTTTACATGAGCCCAAATATGACTCTAAAAATTATAGATGGATTAGTAATGTCTCTTTATGAAGAGGCATGATAATGATTAAAATAATCAAGTTATGATAATGACAAAGGTCTGTCTTACATCTAATTTAAATGAAATATTTATGTAGTATGAGGAAGAGATAGAGGAGATAAAAGACTTATGATGGTCCAACTTGCTTAAAGGCACTATCTATTCTCAACAATTGCATTTAGATGATGGCTAGTTGGAGAAATATTATAAAACAAGTTACAATAGGCAATACAAATCTTTATAGGGTGTAGCTTTTCATCTAATGGAGCATATACAATGTGATCCAGTGAGTCACTTCAACCACCTTTGAGTTCATGCTCTTTCTTTTTTGGTTTTATTTGAACCTTGTGATGTTATTTATCTTAGACACTGGTGATAATTTCATGGCAAATAGAGTACATTAAGTGAGGATAAATGCATATAATTTCTAGGGTTGCACATACTATTATTCATTTTGCCCCTTTGAATTCCTCAAATAAATTGTTTCTTTTATCCATATAGCCAATGATACAACTTTTATTTAAAAAAAAAACAAAAAATGGGGTTGAAATGCTTTATCAATTGAAATGAATATGGCAACTCATAAAAATAGATTTTATGTATATATCATCTATTTTACGAGTTGTCATATTTATAATAGTCTAAGGAAAATTCTTCTAAAAAATTATGTTTTCTCACAAAAAAAAATTAGGGAATTGATTTACCTCCTAGCTTCAACTACGAATAAAAATTGATTCTATGTATATTTTTAAAGAAACTCTATTTTTAAATACATGAAAATATGAGGTGTACAGGGAGTTGAATTATCAAATCTTCTAATTTCACGGTATTTCTTCTCGTGTCATTAATATTAATTACCTTACATCTTACTATCTTAGATTATTCTTTCATATTTTATTGTAATATTATTCATCTTTATTTTTTAAGAAGAAATTAAATTCAGACAAATAATAATAATAATAATAATAATAATTATTATTATTATCTAATAATATCTAACGTAAAACTATATCGGTGATGTTTGCATAAACCACTAATAGCTAGCATAAGACTATGTCAGATTTTATTAAAAAATATCGATAAGTCACAGAGATAATTTGAATAAAATTAAAATTTTAATTTAAAAATATTTTGTAGTGCAAAATTAAAATATTTTGCAGCACTAATTCTAGCTGGTACTTTGCATGCAAAAGAGAGTACCTCCATACTATGGTATCATTGTTTGTTCTCTCGTTACATAATACTATCAATCATTGTTGAAGTGCATTCATGATATTAATATTATTCATGTAACATCCATCATGACTTCTAAATGTGATGCTCATACAATGTTCCACCGAATAACACAGAAAGGATGGTGAAGAATATTGTAAGCACAAAAGATGTGTACCATTGAGTACATCAAGATTTGGCGAGCTCTAAATCCAAATAGCTTTCACAGGGAAGAATGGAATACAGGAGGGAGAGAGAGAGAGAGATCAAATCCCACTCATCTCTCCTCTGAGGAGCCACTCGTATGGAACGTATTATACACATAAAGTTATCCTCGACGCTACGCCGTACCGCATGAACCCTTTGCTTTGCGATTCGAGCCGTGATCGACAGCGGAAATCGCTCGCACTACCATCGTTTGGACGGTAGAGCGGGGCCCACCTTAGTCACCCAATAAGCGCTCGGGTGGTCGAGCGGGTACGAATCGGATGGGCGCCGGCCGTCGTCCCCATTCGCCGCGCGCGTCCATTTGGTTCCCGTTTCCTCGAAGAATGTTTTCCACCTGGGAGTGATTACCCGCGTGAGATACTCTTATAATGACTGGCTTCGGGGCGAGGAGTTTTTGTGGGACCCATTGGGTCAAAACGGGTACCGAGTGGCAGTTTTTTATGGGGGCAGCGCAGCAAGAGGGAATGGTCCCATTTGCCAGCTTCCTTTTTAAAGGAGACGCGAGCGGAGAGGCGTCGCTGACGCTGTGAGTGCCCTTCCGACGTCGAAAGATACCCCTCGGCCATCTTCTTTGCCGAATCTCGCCTCTTCTCCCTCTTTTTATAATCCCATCCTTCTATCTGATCTGATTCCTCCCCCTCTATAAATCCCCCTTCTTCGCTCCTCCTCCTGCGTGCCGCGCTCGGGAACGACTCCAGCGAGCCAAGAAAAGGTGGTAAGTCTTCACCACCTACCTTCCATTCGATGGCTTTGATTTGTTTGTTTCCTTTGATTTCTGGATCCTTTCTCTCGAGAAGGACATGGGTTGGAGGTGTGGTTTCCCACCATCGATCTCCTTCTTCTTCTTCCTCGTTCGGGCGATACACGGTGATTGGACCCCGTCCGTCCGATGAAGATCGGTCGGACCAGGGGAGCCTGTACGTGGTCCCCTCCGGCGTTTTCTGCAGCGCTCCGTGCGCGGCGCTGCAGCGGCAGGGCGAAAAAAATATTTCCTTTTTTGTTCTGCACTGCGCACTTGCTAGTGGACGCACCACATGGGCGCTCAGAGCGGGTGCAGATCGCACGCTCCCCATGTCAAGTCTTGTGCGTGCCACGGTTTTCCTTGTTTTGTTTTATTGAACGAACGGACGAGGCCAGGCCACCCACGGTGTCTGCGTGCGAGAGCTCGCAGTGGAGTCCGGAGGTTGGAGAAAGGGGCAAAGAGCTGGTCCGCATGAGGCTGTTGTGCTCGTCGCATTTTGGTCACACAATTGTTTCGTCTTCAAGATGCCATGAATTCATCGCATCAGTGTGTGCGCGCGCGGGGCGGACGGGACTCTACCGCGTACGGTTCCGCTGTTTGATGAAATGACAGACAATGTTTGATTAAAGAAAACGTTGCTGTAGCAGTTAGGCCAATGGCTGCTTGCGCAGAGCACCTGGTGAAAGAGATTCTTGGGCGGTCTAAATCCGCCGGAGAATGGTTTGGGACTAGTTGCCTCGTAAACTACAACGCAACAAGACCAAAGTACGTCCGATGGCGACGCGATTGAACCTTTGTCGACCCAGGGACTCCCGGCTCGTGGGGCACGGGATTCACTGTGCACTTTTTGCACGCAATCACAGCCATCCAAACCCGTCTTTTTGCTCCACCATAAGGGTTGAAGAATGCACGCAATGGGTGTGCTATGATTTGCACCAGTCGTATCGCCTTGTCAACGGTCGCACAAAAGGTTGCTTCCCCGCCCTACTTTGGGCGACCACCAGTAGTGTTGTCTTGAATCTGTCTTCTGGGCTCTTTATTCCGTAACGTTCAGCTCTCTCCTTCCTTCAGCACCAAAGCTTGATGCCTTCGTCTGTGCGTTGGACACGAGATGGAATTTTGCTTTCTCTCTCCGCACAGTCACATCTACGTGTAGTGCTATTCTTTATTTCGAATCTGCTTGTTGGTTGGTGGAGCTCAGTGGGAGCACTGCACGCCTCTCCTTAGAAAATTATTGTTCCCACTGGTCCGTAACTCGTGATAAGCTGTGCTTCAGAATGCAACTTGGTGTTGCTACTTGTTAATCCGTGGTTGGTTCTGGTTGTTGTGATATTATTTACTTTGATTCTGGATATCAAAGCCACGATGGGTCCAAAAATTTCCCCATCAAGTGCCTTGATCTGTCAGCTTTGTGAAAGCAGAGCAATCGATTGCGACACGGAAGACCATATGGAACGAAGTCACTTAGTTTTAAACTTAAGGTTCGGAGAAGTGACAATGAGTTTTGTTCTAGAATTTCGTAGTGAAATTGCCTTGAGGTTTTCAAGGTTGACTTGATTGGTTGAATCTGGATTTATAGATTTTAGCATAATTTTTTGGACATATTCTTCTCAATTAGCTGTTCATATTATGTTAGAAGAAATTAATTGACTTTGCCAATCGTCATTCCACAATTCAAACTTGAAAAGTTCTTACATAATAACCCATTTGTGGATTGAAAAGGGCAAAGTAATCATCTACTTACAATATCAGAAGACCTTCAACCATTTAGATTTCAGAGTTTATGTCCTACAGATCAATTTATTTTTCTTTGTTTTTTGTTTAAATAATTATTTATTGAGATGTGCAACACCTCTTTGAATATCTTTTCTATAGTTAATAGTGAGTCGTTATGAATAGGGATCGGAGTGGAAACTTCTGGTTGAAGTTATTTCCTTCAAGTGTATACTTGCTAATACAAGATGCAAATTTCTATTTAGTTAGTTGCTCTCTGCATCTATTAACATACCATGCTATATAAGCATAGTGCAAGTTCCTTAGCCTACAGGACACCTAATCGAGATTAGGCTGCAATTAAAGGTAGGTTGTTTTGGAAAAGGAAACGAAGGTGTTACTTTGAAAATTATTGGTAACTGTTGCTTATAGCTCTTATAATGATTGTTTCTTTTGAAAAAAGGATACAATATTATCCTTTTACAATGTTAACAGCATCTATCTTTTGTTTCCAGAGAATTGTGTGCCTTTCTTGGTCCTCATGCGACCTTACTTCGACCCTGATTATGAAAATTTCAGCCAATGGATCAATCCCCCAAGGTCTCTCTCTCTTTTCCTCTCTCATTTCTTTACTCCTAATAAAGATTCTATGTGGTTTCTAGATGGCCATCAGCATTTTCTGATATATGGCATCACAGAGTACAATAAGAAGTGAGATAATTTTGTTGACATTATAAGCTGAACACTTACAAGATCAGAAGATAGTAATATCGATAATTCCATATTTTACATGCATATCTGTGCCATTAGTACCTAATCAACATATGCTTCTCATACATTGTCATTGTTATTTTGATATTTTTCCTTCTCTTCAAGATGATTGAATAAGCTGCTTGTGTAAATAATTTGCAGAGTGTGTATAGACAATGTTACCTGCAATGACTGTACACTTGTTAAGGTAAGATATCTTTATCTTTGTACCCTTTAGATCCTCAATCAATCAATATTATTCAACAGTGTTCAACTACATGATTCACAATCTTTTGTCTTTTAAGGTCTCCTATGGTTGTGTTATAGAAAATGATTATGTTCCATGTCTAGAATCCTTGTGTAATTAATGGACCTTTTTCTTTATGGTGATTATTCCAGCAAATGCATAATCATCTAAGCAGAATGAATAAGCCTTGAAGGGCCTACGCCCAGTGCAAAAATCAACATAAAGAAAGTCAAAAATACTTTGTCCCACACAGTAGATTCAGCAAAAATAATTCAGGTTAGCGTACTTTGTGAGGAAGTGGTCCTCTGAGCTGGCATGAAAGAAAGAGGAATACAGAATAAAAAAATCAAGGCCATCATTTGATAACAGAGTCTGAAGAGAAAGGGAGAGAGACAAAGGAGAAATGGAAAAAAAGTGATCTCCTTATTCGCTATATCATCATCGTTCAGCTCCAACTCTGCACTAATATCCAACCTCATCTAAACTAGCTTGACTGCCTCTAATCTTGTTGATGTAACATGGTCTGATACCAGTTCCTCAAGCAAAACAAAAAAATGCAAAAGTTGCAGTCCATTAATCTTCTTTTGTAATATATACTAATTTATTCTCTTCTTGTGCTTAGGTGGATAGTGTGAACAAGCCCGGGATACTTTTGGAAGTGGTGCAGGTTTTGAGCGACCTTGACCTAGCCATTTCTAAAGCTTACATCACTTCTGATGGCACATGGTTTATGGATGGTATGCTCATGATACAATCAACAACAATCTTTGTGAATTTTCTTCAAAGTAGATGCATTGAATTTTCTTTGGATTTTGAATGAATCAGTATTCCATGTTACTGATCAGCAAGGAAGAAAGATTACCGAGAAAAAGACTATCGACTACATTGAGAAGGTGACATCAATACTTATTTTTTAATAATAATAATAGTAATAATTTTATGTTTAATATTAGTACTAACTGTTAAACAAGAGAGTAAACTTGTGGTTCATTTCCTTCTTCAAGTAGACAGAGTTCATAATAGAACTAAATATCTGCTTTGCTGAACATACAATGATGAAGTTGTCTACACCAGTTAGGAGGTTAAGGTTCTGAATGTTGATTTAACTGAATCTAGCAGGCAATATAATGGTTAAATAATTTAGCAGGCTTCTTTTGTCTTCTCATTTTGATCACTATTATAATTTACTAGTTTTCTGAGATCATCATCCATATTGAGATCAAGCATCATTGGGCAGACCTCTAGAATATAGTGTCAGATAAACCAGAATAGCATTGTCAAGGATGGCCTAAATTATCCCTACCAGGCAATGAAGGGTTGCTTATAAACAGTTATTCCTTATGAATCTAAAGGAATGAAGGATATCTGAAATGAAGAGCGTTTTTTTTTTTTTGGAACTGATGCTTATGAAATGCAGTTTCATATAAATTTCTGTTAATTAACATAAACTAGCCACACACCTCATTGTCACCAACAAACCTAATAAACTATTTTTTAAAACTTGATGACAGCATGTTACAATACAATTATATTTATGATCAAAACTTAGGCAGAGAGGCAAAAACAGATTACTCGTTGCAATCTCATGGATTGTATTTAGCAGATGCTATCTCATTATACTAAATAATACTTGCTCTTACAACAACAACAAAAGCAATAATATCCCAGCTATTTGGGGTTATCTAAATTTTATTTTTTCATGTCATTGAATACTTGCTCATGCTGGATTTAGAATATTCTACAACCATAACTTACCTGATGAAAATTGGATGCATAAATTATTCACTTGTTTCGTAGTGTTCCCTTTGTTCATTTTCAGGCTTTAGGTCCAGAAAGCCTAAAGGCGGACTCATGGCCAGGAAAATCAGTGGGAATGCACTCATTTGGTAATCACATTGCTATAGAACTAATTGGCACAGACCGTCCAGGCCTCCTGTCTGAGATCTTTGCGGTCCTTGCAAATCAGCATTGCAATGTGGTAGCTGCTGAGGTTTGGACCCACAAAATGAGGGTTGCTTGTGTTATATACATAAATGATGAGGCCACATCTGAACCAATGAAGGAACCTAGCCGCATGTGTACAATGGAAGAGCAGCTACGGAATGTTTTGCGTGGGTGTGGTGATGATGTAAAAGGTTCTTGCACTAGCTTTTCTATAGGTTCCACTCATGTGGATCGTCGCCTTCATCAGCTAATGCTTGCTGACAAGGACTATGAAGGTTATGGTGGCGCTATAGAGGAGAAAGATGACATGCTTTTCAGGCCAGTCATCACTATTGATCAATGCGAGGACAAAGGTTACTCAGTGGTGAACATAAAGTGCAAAGATCGGTCAAAGTTGTTATTTGATATAGTCTGCACATTGACGGACATGCAATTTGTTGTTTCCCATGCCTCAGTCTCATCTGATGGCCCCTATGGTGTACAGGTATTCACACAACAAACATGATGAGAAAACTTGTCCTTTTTCCTAACTACAAATCATAATATTTCAGTTGTTACGGAGGTACGGAGCAAATTTCTTTTGTTTAGGTCATGTTGTTTTCGAGCATAAATTTCCATTAATATGTTGAGATGAACTAATAGTTAATTAACTGAGCGTGTTAGATGGTTGCAAAATAGATGTTAGTGCATGGCTAGCATATGATTATCATTACAGTTAATAGAAAAGTTGAATGTTCATGATTCTTGTAAGCACATTTTGTTGTATAATTCGCTGCTGTGTTTCATGTATAGGATGCAAATTTCATCATGTCAATTTAAGTTTCCTTCTATTCTCTTTGCAAATTAAGTGGTGAGATTTTGTGCACCTTGCACCATTTTAAATTATAAAAGCCAGATTCCTCTTATGTTCTGAATCTTGTCTTTGACATGCTTTGTAAGATGCATCTAACACCATCAATTTTTTTGGTTTAATTTATACGTTCATATATGCAATTTGGCATGTTCAAACGGATTTTCAGTTTTGTTGGTTAAGATATTGCTTGGCTGATAACGATGCTAAGCATGGTTTAATGATTGCTCAAGATGGTTGTAAAAAAACAACTCTTCATCTGCAGGAGTTATATATTCGTCACAAGGATGGAAAGATCCTTGATTCAAAAGATGAAAAGGAGAGGGTCATCAAGTGCCTCGAAGCTGCAATTCTTAGAAGAGTATCTGAGGTGAAGTAAAAGTTCTTTCCGAGTCTAGTAAATGTGTGATTTCTGCCACTTGTGATAGAGGTATATTTGAATATGGACACTAGAAGATTACAAGTTCAGCCACATTGCTATCTAATGTTTTTGACTGCTTATAGGTGCAATAAAGAGAATCTGTAGATTGCACTAAAGTCAATTATATGGACTGCTTGAGGTATTTATTTGTTGATCACTTCCTCGTAGAGGTCGAAAATTGAATTCCTTGAAAACTGGTTTGATGCATCTACTTTTGTTCCAACTTGACCAGGATGTTATATAATGCTCAGGTTCATATCAGCTAAATGATGATGCTTTGAAGAAAAACATTTTTTTTATCAAGAATATAAATCAACCTAGCATTTTCTGCAGTCTTTACATTGACAATGCAAGAAAAAGGGCACCATGTGACCGAAACATTCATTGCATTTTTTTTTTTATCTACTTGACTTGACATTGAAGAATACTAAGTTGTTTGTCAAGTCTACAAACTCACATTATATCTGAAAGATCAACTTAACAATTTAGTATTTAGTGTACAATCATAAAGAGCTTGCTGTAGGATTGTTATATGTAAATAGACCAAACAAAAGTTCAGAATAATCTTTTTGATCTATTCTCATTTTGCTACAAAATTCTGATCTAATTCTCATTAGTTATCCTTGTCATCTTGCTATCTTGTAACAATGGCATGAAGTTTTAGCAAACAGGAATATTGTTTCTTCTGTTCAATCAATCTCATCATCCTAGGACTTGGTCAATTGCAGGGATTCAGTTTGGAGATTTGTGCTAGAGACAGAGTAGGGTTGCTCTCTGATGTGACAAGAGTTCTTCGGGAGTATGGCCTCTCGGTACTAAGAGCAGATGTGACGACCATAGGAGAGAAGGCCATGAACGTGTTCTACGTGAGGGACCCATCCGGGAATCCAGTGGACATGAAGACCATCGAAGCTCTCCGACAGGAGATTGGACACACCGTGATGCTCAACGTGAAGAGGGTACCTTCCACCACCAAGTCTCCCGAGGCCAGTGGCTGGGCCAAGACCAGCTTCTCCTTTGGCAACTTGTTTGGTAAGTTCTTGAGCTGATCAGGGGCACAGGGTTGGCCTCTTAAGGAATGAGGCTTGTTAGTAAGACCTGCATGTAGATTAAACATCCCGCAAAATGTAAAGTATTCAAATATGGAATGAGAGGGACTGCTAGTAAAGCTGCATGTACCGAATGGATTCCAGAATTATCTGTTTGGGGTCTTGTAGACCAGATGGTGCTTTAAAGGTTCTGTCCCATGGGATAAGGGCATTGATCTTATTACTTGGAGACAGGTTTTTCTGCATCATTTTGTGTACATTGAAGTCCTTGTTGAATTGTCTTCTGATACTAATATGACTTGCTGAACCTTTTAGGTGAAGCAGATCAGAATCATTCACTGACATGGGTCAAAGAGAGAACCAATTGGCAGGAACAGAGGTAACTAACAGCTTCTTTCTCACCCTCCTTTGCAAAGTGCATGCATGAGGGGGTTGACTGCTTATTAGCTTATGCCTTGTCATTATATTCCTTTGCTTTCCTCTTCTTTCTCTTCCAAGAAGCTTGATCTAAGAGTTAACAATATAGATGAAGACCCTGGTTTATTTCACTTTTGTACCCTAATGTTTTCCAGGGCTTTTAAAATCGGATCCATTTGGTTAGTCAGATTGAAGACTTTAGTTCTGTAGAAAAATCAGATTGGTGAAATCAGAAACCAAAAACTTGGAAAACATTAGAAATCAGTGGAATACTTGTAATGATCAAAACCAAACATTGTTTTCAAAATAATATCATTAATTTTCTGTGGCTTTATATATATGGCAATAAGAAATGATATTATACATCGTAAGCTATAAAATATTTGACAAAAAGATAATTTTTTGCATAAGGTAAACGGCAGTAGGATTTAAACCCAGAACCTTATGACAAACTGTCAAGATCTTTATCGGCTAAACTAGTTAGCACATTTAAAATATTACACAAGTTACTATGATTTTCATTTTCTATAATTTAAACTAGTTAACAACTATAATTTTCATTTTCTAAAATCATTATGTCCTATGTAACTATCATTATATTTGTACGAGGATCTGTTCTTAATCAAATCTATCTCTTATCACCATACACCGTGTGGTAGTTAATGTGTTAACAACTATAATCTTCATTTCTTAGAATCATTATGTCGCATGTAATTATCAGTATGTTTGTATGAGAATCAGTTCGTAATCAAATGAAACTAAATGTATTTATCAATGTTCCTTTGGTACCAAAGTCAAGATCTCTTGAGCACATAAACATACAAGAAATTATTTTCTCTATATGGTCCTACATCGTTTTCTTTTAAGGGTCCTACATGAGTTTTCTCAAGGGTTTGGCTCCTTTAGGATTAAGCATGCTTATTAATGCAAAACCATCATAAGCGACGATGATAAGCGACGATGAGAAATGATATTAATGCAGAACCTGATATGTATGTTTATTCTCACATTGATTGAGTATCAAAATTTACATCTATGCTCACTGGTGACAAAGAGTAATGTCAATCAAACAGTCGACTAAAAAAACACCTTCTTGGATGAAAAATGGAGTCATATCACATCCCATATTATTTATTTTTGCTGATAAGAGAAAGAATTGTATAACTACAAGCGACTCACACACAACATGGCACACCCAAAATGACAAACTACAAGAACAAAAGGAAAGAACACCTCACAGTAGTAGCTCAACTCCTCACAACAACAATAACTTAATCTCTAGACACTCAACTATGCTTCATGAAGATACCACGATTGATACGTTTATTCTGCGCTCAGTTCGATGGAACTCTGAATTTTTCGTATCGAGCTCCGATCTCATTGTATGTCTTCAATCCGATCAAGCTGTTGAACTCCTCGAATGTGGTCAGCTTGTGGAGCTGGTCTCTGCTGGTTCCTTCTTCCTTCATCACCTTGAGGACGTCGATTAATGCACGTGCAGATGCATAGACGGCCGTGGTGGAATGCACGATGAGGTGGAAACCCATCTCTTCGAGTTCCTTAGGTGTGTGCAAGGGTGTAAAGCCGCCTTCGAGCATGTTGGCAGCTCGGAATCCATTTGTCTTTTTGCAAACTTCTCTCAGCTCATCGTCGCTCCTCGGTGCCTCGACGAAGCAGGCATCTGCTCCAGCCTGCACGAGTCAATGAGCCAGTGCCAAGGTCATCAGTTTCTCTACGAATCGAGAGAAAGCTTGTTGCTTGTTGGAGAAACCAATCAAAGGCAGTAGGAGCTTTATGCGTATCAAAATGCATGTGTGTGAGAGAGATTTTACTGTTAGTGGATCTTGATGCAAGATTCAAAGTAGTCTACAGCACTATGTTAACAGTTTCAGTATAAAGTTCAGAAGAATACTGAGTTTAAATTCTTACAACAAAGATCAAGATAATGATACCCAACAATTTTTGAAAGTTTAACAACTGCAACTAAAGATGTCAACTAATTTTTGCAGTGACCCTCTGTTTCTGATTCACTTACTACCTTATGTACCACACAAACAATAGCCACATTTGACATCTAGAAGCATCAGGTAATGACAACATCTCAAGTGTTATATATGGGCATGCTCAAAAAAAACCTATACCAATCAACACATAGTAAAAGAGAGATTCTCCATATCAAACTACATCGAAGTTTCTAGGCATGTAGTAATTCGGAACCTATAATGCAATTATAGATATACCTGTGAAGGGCAAAAATCACTATCATATAACCTCATTCAATTAAAAACATAAGTACTTGCTGGTTGTCAATTAAAATTGAATAGACCTAGTAATTCGATTAATATGATACCTCCATGTAGAGGTTAGCCCGTGCAATCGCTTCAGGTAGACCACCTGCAGTGGCACGAGCATCAGTCCGAGCAATAAGAAAGAAGTCAGCATCACCAATGGCTTCTCTTGCAGCTGCTATTTTTGCAGCATGTTCCTCAGCTGGGATCACCTAAGACAAGTGACACGAAGCAAAGTTTCATGCCTGAATTTAAAACATTATCGAAGCTGGGGAAAGAAAACAAGACAACAATTCTCGTTTTTCTTCTCAGATTGTTACCTGTTTACCCTGCATATGCCCTGGTTGCCAGAGAGCAAAAAAAAGAAGTCAAAAAAGAAAACTCTCGTCACACAGATTCCACAGGAAACAACACAGTTAAGATCAGCCACAGTTGAATACCAATGGCTAGTTGTAAGAAAAGATTAATGTTCTCTTACCGCACTTCTTTGGCCAAACTTGATCCTGTAATCAATGTGAAAATAGAAAAAGTTAGCTCTAAAACTAAGAACTAAATGAGAGCAGACTGCAATTCCTAGCATGGAGGTAAGTCATCATCATCGTACCTCAAGAAACAGACCAGCGGCACCAGTAGCAATTATATCTTTGACAGTCCTTTGGACATTGAGAGCATTGCCACCTCCGGTATCTGAAATGTTTCAGAGAACTAAAATTATAACCGAAGTGCATTTACAAGATGGATAAAACACATCAAATAGAACTTTTTTTGTCCAGAAAAACAAAGAGTGAGCTGATTAAGTGGTTCTCAGTATGTTTAGTGTAAATCAAATTTGGATCGAAGCAGATCTAATGAGATCAAAGATTTCGACTGGCTAATCACATATACATATTTCACCATGAGGCTGACAATAAATTCCATGTGTTGGATATGCTAAGCTTGCATACATATGACAGTAATAAACAGCCCTCTTATCTTTATTCCTTAATGATATTAGAAAAACTATTCATTGCACACATAGGTTTCTTTGAGATAGTGGAACCGTTCAAGTCGCAAGTATTACATTATATTTTCTTCCAATTCTATTAATTTACATATATTTTTTATTTTCATGCTGTACAGAAGGATTCATTACTCACAATTCAAACTACTCGAAGTTCCAGAACTCCTTGAAAAGATTGTGGTAAAATATTATATTCATCAAATCAATTGGTCTACCTAAACTGTGAAAAGTGAGCATAAACTGTCGTGGACAAAGTGCCTGCAAATTGCCATATTTCGCAAGCTTCAAAGCTACCAGTAAGCATCAAAAGTGACGACCAAGCACATCACTCTTCGCCTTACTGGTGCTTACAGACACATTAGGGTTTCCTGCTCAAGTAACAACAGAGCAGGACAAAATTTGACAGAGAACTGAAGAAATGCTGTTGAAAAGGAGCAGAATAGTACGAGCGGAAGAAGATGATTACCAGCGTCAACGATGAATGCAACATTTGGAGCCGCGGCACAAATTGCTCGAGCTGCATCCGCCATCTCCGGCGGCCTAAAATTCAAGAAAGGCAAAAGGAACAAACGAATTAGAGAAATCAGACGAGGAATGGGGAGGATGGAGGGGTTGGGGGTAAGAGGGAGATACGTGAGGAGGCCGATGTCGGGCATGCCGAGGCGGGCGGCGGAGACGGCGTAGCCGGAGATGAAGCCGGCGCGGAACCCTAAGCTCTGGAGGACGGCCGCCGAGAGCGCGTCGTAGATCCCGGGCATCAGCACGATGCCCTCCTCCTCGATGAGGCGGTGCATGCGCGTCTTCCTGGGGCCGGATAACGCCGAGATCGACCTCACAGTGACTGCCACCGGCGAGTTCGCCATCTCTCTTCTCGCTTGCAGCACTGGGAAGCTTCGCACTCGGGACTGGGAGAAGAGAGAGACAGAGCGAGAGATGGAGGATACCGAAGGGCGGGATTTATAGAGCGCGCGAGGGTCGAAGGCTGGGTCTGGGTTGGCCCACGGCGGAAGACCGTTGACCACGCGAAGGGCTGAGATTGTTCCAAGGCCCAGACTGATCTAATCATGACCGTTCAAAGCGTAGAGCGCGGTAGGTGAACCATTTATTCACACGTCAGCTGAATCATGTGCACACAAAAAAATCATCGTAGCATTTCACTCACTTGTTACACGGCCCGGTTTTCTACCAGTCTCATAATTCGTCGAAATTATGGAGCCACGTGGGACCCATTGAGATGTTATGGCAAGAGGCTTTGATTGCAGAAGGCATTCCGTGGGGCCAAGCCAGCCTTTTTATCTCGACCACTCATCCTGTCAGACTTGACAGTGCCACGTGGAGGTCCCCGACACACACGACGACTTCGGTCGCGACACGCCCGCCGAGTCAACGTGGCTCGAGTCGCGTCCGAAGTCTGGAATTCGAGCATTGCCGAATAATTTATTCGTCCCAAAATTCCATCCCCCAAAACCTTCTCAGCTCTCTCACATGACAAGCGGAGCCCACACGTCAAGTTACCGCACATAATGGATCCAAACCCGCA